CAACAACCTTCGGCCGAATTTGTTGATACGAACCCCAGAGAGTTGATAGAAGTTTACGCCCTAAAATCTACACTATCACAATGAATTGGCCTGGGTGCCAGGCTGACCCTGGCAACAGTCTGGCACCCAGGCTAGCCCTGGAGCCGAGGAGCTAGCCTGTATACTGGCCCCGGCAACAGTCTGGCACCCAGGCTAGCCCTGGAGCCGAGGAGATAGCCTGTATACTGACCCTGGCAACAGTCTGGCACCCAGGCTAGCCCTGGAGCCGAGGAGATAGCCTGTATACTGGCCCTGGCAACAGTCCGGCACCCAGGCTAGCCCTGGAGCCGAGGAGCTAGCCTGTATACTGACCCTGGCAACCGCCTACGAGGCAAACGCGAAGGGCCTGTCGTTGTACCTAACGTGCTTTAATTATCAATTAAGATATTAAAGTGCGGACCAACTCCCCTGGTATATCAACTGTCGATTTGGTCAATTTCTATCTGCTCTTTCCAGCCGCTTCCCGTAGACTAATAGAGGCTACATTCTGCCTATGTGCTACATTTTGCTATATACATGTATTAAGTATGATACGAACAACACACACAGAGTGAATAAAAATGCAACACTGATGATGTAAGAAACTGTTATATGTCAAGAATAAAAAACATTAAATGCGAGGAAATATAAAAAGATATACCAAGAATACATTATTGTAGCTATAGCGCAAAACACCTGATAATACATACATCCATTTCTCTTGTTAAACTTGTACATTTTTATAAGATAGATTTTAAAATTCTTTGCTCTAGTTTTCTGTTTCACGGTCGTCTGTAGAGAACATTAGGCTCCTTTGCTGTCTGTGTCATGAATTGGATACTTGCAAAAGTCTTTAATTTAGTAAGGCACGATGCCAAAATATTTTGCCAATAACTTACCAATTTCTGTCCCTATTTTCCATCTTATTATTGTTTACCGTATAGAAAGCCTTTTGCACCGGTAGTACATGCATTATATATATATATTATTATATTTCAGTCCATACCATGGTATGGATGAAATATATTGTTTTCCCTCATGTTTCTCCTTCTTCTCCTCCTTCTTCTCCTCCTCCTGCCACACAGTCAAAGGGATTCAACTCCGCCATCATTCAGCCAAATGACTTGAAACTTGGCATGGAGGTAGAGTGGGCCAATACCCAGATGCATTTCGATAAATGCCTTTGAAAAATTTTTATGAAGGTTTTTTGGGGCATTTTTCGACAAAAAAATGGATTTTTGGATCCTGAGCCCTGGTTTTACAACCAAATGATCTGAAATTCGGTATAAGGGTACCTTGAACGTGTGTCTACAGAATAGCAGTCGCGTATTTGGCAAACACCACTTCCAAATGACTCATTTGGGGGACTTTAATGGCTATTTTCAGCAAAAAAGGGCCAAAAGTGCTGTACCCGTTCCATGTTCTATCCAAAGAATGGCCCGTTCCATCCATGGAACACGTGTTCCATTGTGGGTTACCTGAGGTCACATTGCACCTAAGTCGTGCGTAATGACCCACACATTCAATTTTATGTGCCTAAGACCTTCAAAATGTATCAAATTTCATCATTGTTAGTATTTACCTGTAATAAGATTAGCAAAGCTTACGAGATCCAAAGTACTTGTTCTTGCATCTTTGTTCTCATATAGCTACTATTTAATTCATTTATTTGAGAACCTTTGCCAGTTTTGCACTGGGGTAAGTTTGGAATAGTCCACTTTTGCGTGGGAGGGAGATGGACTGAAATATGTTGTATTTGCTCCCAAGCAAATGTCGGCCTTTCTAGTTATTTATATATTATATATATAGGCAGGCCAGGAGGGGGGTATCCCGTGGGTGGGGAAGCGGATCCCGGGGGATAGGGGGGCTGGGCCGCCGGTGGATACCCTCCCGACATGCTGTAATAGAAAAGGGCCAACAAGAAATTAACAGATAACCTTTATTGTACAAAGGTAAAGGTATGTGTTTGTAGTACAAACAGGAGTACTGATCCCGTGATAAAGGTACATTAGCCCTAAAATTACTATAATAAATGGCAATGTGGACTTCTATGTCACATACACAAACACACAGACACACACGGTACACACACACACACACATGCACACACACACAGTGTCACACACACACTGACACACACACAGACGCCACACACACATACAGACACACACACACACACACACACACAGACGCCACACACACACACACAGACGCCACACACACACACGCACGCGCACACACACACACACACGCACGCGCGCGCACACACACACAC